GGCTGCCCCGGAGCCGCGGCCCCACCCGCCTGTCTCTGGGCCCCACCCCCAGGCCTTTCTGTGACTGGGGTCCTCCTCGCCCCCACCCTCCTGACCTTCCCGGCCCCTTCTGCCGTCTTGCAGCTGGGCGAGCCCAAGAACCCCCCCCCCTGCCCTCCACTCCCAGAGCTGTGGCGTCCCGCTGGTTCTTTAAGACCTTTTTCTGTGCAGAACGTCTCCCCTGCAGATGGAGAAGCACCCAGTTTTTGCTGCACCCCGCTTTGCGCGGTGGCAGTGTTCAGTAGGTGCTCTGGACGGCGCGTTGCACTGTCACTCACGCGTCGGGCATTTACGGAGCATCTGCTGTGCTGGGGACTTTTCTAGGGTCAGGGACTAGGAGCGAGTGGCCCGCCTCGAACTCTTACCTCAGGCCGCCGCAGGGATCTCCACAGTGACCAGTGAGGGGCTCGGGGCCACGTTTCCCTTGTGCGGTGGTGAAGGTCTCTCTGCGGGGCTGTCTGAGCTGGCGGCAGGGCGGGGAGCAGCCTGCGCGGCGGGGAGCTGGCGGCCGAGCGCCCCGGAGATGCAGGCTCAGTCCAGGCCACCTGTGGAACGCAGTGGACGTGGAGGGAGTCACGGTCTTAGCTTCCCGGGGCCACGGAGTTCCAGGTGCATCGCCAGTAGCTAGCGCGTGTGTGGTGGCGTGAGAGGGCCTGGGCCTGCGCCGCGAGTCGCCGCGAGGACACCCAGCAAGCACTGGCCAGCGGCCAGAGCAGGGCGGCCACGGGCCTGCAAGTCGTTCCGGAAACCAGGCCCAGAGCCCAGTTTCTGCGAAGCGCCGTGAAACGAGGCCCCAGAAAGGCTGGGTGTGTCGAGTCAGGGAGGCGGGCTGGGGCCTGGCGAAGGCTGAGCTGTGATTCTGGGTTCACCGGGAAGCTCCGGACATCCCCAGCAGGGGCCCGGAGTGAGCTGGCCTGTGTTTTCCTAAGAACAGAGGCCACTCGTGGGCAGTGCAGCGGGCAGAGGGGACGTGGGCGCAAGTGTGGCGCCCAGGCCTGGGTGGAGGAGGGTGGAGGGTGTGCAGCTAATTCTGGAAAGCAGGCGGATAGGATTGGGGGTGAGTGGCCCCTGGAGGTGAGATTTGGGGGCGATGTCACTTGGCTCCCCCATGAGGCCTTGAGCAAGCTCGGGCTGCCCCCAGCGAGCTGAGGCACTTCCGCTGCCCCTTCCGCAGCACTGAACGCAGGGCCTGCACAAGGGGGGGGCCCAAACGGAGCACCCCCATCGCTGCGGTACCCACGCCGGCCCCTTGGCTGGTCCTCAGCGCGAGGGCTCGCCAGAGATGACCGTGCCCAGGTCTCACGACCTGCCCTGCAGCGATCCTCAGCTCCGCTTTCTCCAGGTGGATGTGAGGTCGAAAGGGGCCGCAGGAGCGGGGTGCCCTTGTCCTCCGGCTTCCGGTTTGCAGAGGCGACCAGGCCCGAGAGGGGCGGCTGACCGAGTCAGGGCACGTGTCCCTGTCCGCTCTGCTCCCAGCCCGGCTCGTCCCTGAAGCTGGGCGCCTCCCTGCGGCCTGGCTGCCCCAGTGGCCCGGGCCGGGCGCTGCTCTTCCTCACGCGGACACTCTGCTTGCATGATCTGCTCACATCGCTCCTTTCTCTTCTTGTGGCCAGGCTGTGGACAGGGACAAGCAAACCGGGGATGGGGGGCCTCCCACCCCCTCCCCCTCCCCCCAGCCGGCTGCTGAGAAGAGCTCCTACCTCTACTCCACGGAGATCACGCTGTGGACAGTGGTGGCCGCCATTCAGGCCCTGGAGAAGAAGGTGGACTCCTGCCTGGCCCGCCTGCTGACCCTGGAGGGGCGGACGGGCACGGCCGAGAAGAAGCTGGCCGACTGCGAGAAGACGGCCGCAGAGTTCGGGAACCAGCTGGAGGGCAAGTGGGCCGTGCTGGGGACGCTGCTGCAGGAGTACGGGCTGCTGCAGCGCCGGCTGGAGAACATGGAGAACCTGCTGAGGAACAGGAACTTCTGGATCCTGCGGCTGCCCCCCGGCAGCAAGGGGGAGACCCCCAGGGTAGATCGGGGCACGGGGCTGGGGCGGGGACGCGCCTGGCGGTGCGGGGGTGAGCTCGCCTGACGCTTGTGGTTCCAGGTGCCCGTGACCTTCGATGACGTGGCCGTGTATTTCTCGGAGCAGGAGTGGGGGAGCCTGGACGAGTGGCAGAAGGAGCTGTACAAGCACGTGATGCGCGGCAACTACGAGACGCTGGTCTCCCTGGGTGAGGCGCGGGGCGCCTCCTGCCGCCACTCCTTGGCGTTGGCTCTGCTCCCGCGGGCGCCTCTGCAGGGGCGGGGGCAGGGCCGGCGGCAGGTGCCGTTCCTGACGCAGCGCTCCGTGCCCCTCTGCTCCAGATTATGCCATCTGCAAGCCGGATATCCTTGCCCGCATGGAGAGGGGAGAGCAGCCTTGTCCCGAAGGCCCGTGGGGCCAGGAGGGGAGCGAGAGAGAGGCAGGAGGCCCCCAGGGGCCGGACCCTGGTGAGTGGGGCGCCCTGCGGAACGGCGGGCAGACTGCACCCCGAGGCCAGCCCTGGGGGCTTGTCTTGGAGAAACCCGACAGGGTTTCTGACCATGGGGTCCGGCCTCACCTTGCCCTGGTCAGGGGGAGCTGGACTGTGCCAGGAAGCGGGGCTTCTGCTCACAGCACTGTAGCGAAGCAGCACTGATACCATGCCCTTGGCTCCCCCCACCTCTGCTCCCCGACTTTAACCTGGCAGCGGGGTCAGGCTCCTGTGTGCCTGCGTCTCTGTGGAAATGGGCACCCCAGAGGAGAGGCAGTGTAGGGGTTCCAGAGTCTGCTGCATGGCAGACTTCTGTGCTGAGTGAACAGTGAGAGAAGTGCAGTGAACCCCTCAGATGATTACCCCACTCGGCAGATGATCACCGCCTGCTCTGGTCGCCTTTGCTTCCTCCCTGTCCTCTCCTCTCCTCAGCAGGAGCGCAGTGCGGGGTCCCCC